TGTTCTATATACTGGTTCTGTCATGCAGATGAAATATCTTAGTCAGCTCTACACAAATTGTAACTCGTCCACATTATCATGAAGAACATGGGAAAGATCTGTAATATTTTTATGACTATTATGTGATGGTTGATGGTTATTGTGTTGCTTTCTAAGAATACGTGATGGTTATTTCTGTCTTAGGTGGTTTTGCACATCTTCAGGAATCAAAGTTAGTGGTGTTAGATAACCTAATAACCAATGTTTGACCAGATGAATGCCAAGGCCTTTGAGGTTTTGTCCCTGCCCAAATGGGACACAACATCTCCTAGCTTCGAAGAGGGGAAGAGTCTTCCAGGCTGGAATCCTTAAACCGGTGATACTCAGACTGAGGCTTGGAAGCCGCAAGTGGTTCTTTAATGTGCCTCCTTTGTCTCTTTGCAGCACATGATATTAAAACACTGTGATTTAGTTATTAACCGTTGTAAGTTATTAACCAGTCAGGATGCTTTTTTTATGTTGTTCACCAATTGTAGAATACTTGGTGAGTCATTTTGCTGTGAGAATAATACAGTAAAAGCTTTTTTTATCCGGCATTTTGGGGGAGTGCGGGGTGCCAGTAAGTGAAAAATTCCAGTTAACTAAGAGGGAGGGAGTTTGGGTACAGGAGGGCGGGCAGGGTTGGGGCAGGGGAGGGGGTGCAGGGCATGGGCTTTGGAAGGGAGTTTGGGTGTGAGAGGGGGCTTAAGGCAGGGGGTTGGAGGGCGGGTGGGGTCTCAGGGTGCCAGATCCAGGGGGCGCTCACCTCAGGTGGCTCCCTGCAAGCGGTACCTGGTTCCTGCTACTCCTAGGCAGAGGTGCGGCAGGTGGCTCTGTGCGCTGCCACTGCCCCGAGGACTAGCTCCACAGCTCCCATTGGCCAGGAACCAATTTCAATTGATTTCAGTTACAACAGAGAATACAAAGTGTACAGTGCTCACTTTATATATATTTTTGAGTACAAATATTTGCACTGTAAAAATGATAAATAGTATTTTTCAATTCACCTCATACAAGTACTGTAGTGCAATCTCTTTATCATGAAAGTATAAGTTACAAATGTAGATTTTTATTGTTTTTACATAACTGCACTCAAAACCAAAACAATATAAAACTTTAGAGCCTACAAGGCCACTCAATCCTACTTCTACAATCCTTACTACTTGTTCAGCCAATTGCTAACACAAACAGGTTTGTTTACATTTACGGGAGATACTGCTGCCTGCTTCTTATTTACAATGTCAACTGAACATGAGAACAGGCATTTGCATGGCACTTTTGTAGCCAGCATTGCAAGGTATTTACGTGCTAGACATGCTAAACATTCGTATGCCCTTTCATGCTTTGGTCACCATTCCAGAGGACATGCTTCTATGTGATGATGCTTGTTTAAAAAAAAAATGCATTAATTAAATTTGTGACTGAACTCCTTGGGGGAGAATTGTATGTCCCCCGCTCTGTTTTACCCACATTCTGCCATATATTTCTGCTTTGGATCATTATCGAGCAGAACCATTAGCATGGACGTGTGTCCTTTGGAATGGTGGTTGAAGCATGAAGGGACATATGAATCTTTAATGCATCTGGCACGTAAATATCTTGCAACGCCGGGTACAACAGTACCATGTGAACACCTGTTCTCACTTTCAGGTGACATTGTAAACAAGAAACGGACAGCATTATCTCCTGCAAATATAAACAGACTTGTTTGTCTGAGTGACTGACTAAACAAGAATTAGGACTGAGTGGACTTTACATTGTTTTAGTTTTGAATACAGTGTTTGTTTTTGTTTTGTTTACATAATTCTACATTTGTAAGTTCAATTTCAATGATAGAGATTGTATTACAGTACTTGTATAAGCAGAATTGAAAAATACGGGTTTCAGAGTAACAGCCGTGTTAGTCTGTATTCGCAAAAAGAAAAGGAGTACTTGTGGCACCTTAGAGACTAACCAATTTATTTGAGCATAAGCTTTCGTGAGCTACAGCTCACTTCATCGGATGCATACTGTGGAAAGAATAGAAGATCTTTTTATACACACAACATGAAAAAATGGGTGTTTACCACTACAAAAGGTTTTCTCTCCCCCCACACCACTCTCCTGCTGGTAATCGCTTATCTAAAGTGATCACTCTCCTTACAATGTGTATGATAATCAAGTTGGGCCATTTCCAGCACAAATCCAGGGTTTAACAAGAACGTCTGAGGCGGGGTGGGGGGGTATGCAGGACCCACCTGCGGAAGTGAAGAAACAGATTGGTAGAGCCAGAAGAGTTCCCAGAAGTCACCTACTACAGGACAGGCCTAACAAAGAAAATAACAGAACGCCACTAGCCGTCACCTTCAGCCCCCAACTAAAACCCCTCCAACGCATTATTAAGGATCTACAACCTATCCTGAAGGATGACCCAACACTCTCTCAAATCTTGGGAGACAGGCCAGTCCTTGCCTTCAGACAGCCCCCCAACCTGAAGCAAATACTCACCAGCAACCACATACCACACAACAGAACCACTAACCCAGGAACCTATCCTTGCAACAAAGCCCGTTGCCAACTGTGCCCACATATCTATTCAAGGAACACCATCACAGGGCCTAATAACATCAGCCACACTATCAGAGGCTCGTTCACCTGCACATCCACCAATGTGATATATGCCATCATGTGCCAGCAATGCCCCTCTGCCATGTACATTGGTCAAACTGGACAGTCTCTACGTAAAAGAATAAATGGACACAAATCAGATGTCAAGAACTATAACATTCGTAAACCAGTTGGAGAACACTTCAATCTCTCTGGTCACGCGATTACAGACATGAAAGTTGCGATATTACAACAAAAAAACTTCAAATTCAGACTCCAGTGAGAGACTATTGAATTGGAATTCATTTGCAAATTGGATACAATTAACTTAGGCTTGAATAGAGACTGGAAATGGCTAAGTCATTATGCAAGGTAACCTATTTCCCCTTGTTTTTTCCTCCCCCCCCCCCCCCCGACATTCTTGTTAAACCCTGGATTTGTGCTGGCAAATGGCCCACCTTGATTATCATACACATTGTAAGGAGAGTGATCACTTTAAATAAGCTATTACCAGCAGGAGAGTGGGGTGGGGGGAGAGAAAACCTTTTGTAGTGGTAAACACCCATTTTTTATGCTTTGTGTGTATAAAAAGATCTTGTATACTTTCCACAGTATGCATCCAATGAAGTGAGCTGTAGCTCATGAAAGCTTATGCTCAAATAAATTGGTTAGTCTCTAAGGTGCCACAAGTACTCCTTTTCTTTTTGAAAAATACTATTTCTTACAAATATTTGTAATCAAAAATACATATAAAGTGAGCACTGTACATGTTGTTGTGTTGTAATTGAAATCAATATATTAGAAAATGTAGAAAACATCCAAAAATATTTACATAAATGGTATTCTATTATTGTTTACAATGCAATTAATCTCAATTAATTTTTTTAATTGCATGACAGCTCTTAATTGTATATTATCAGTAGAGTTGTTGGATATTGTCATTATAAAGTAATTATCTCCCTTATTGATACCTGTCAGCCACTTTGAAGTCCGCTGAATTCTACAGCTAGAACTCAGAACAAAATTTGGTCCGCAGAATCTATATTATTGGTGATAAATGGTCCAGAAAGAACAAAGCTTGATATTTTTTTTTTCAAATCCCAGATTGATTTAGTAGTGCTGGTAGCTGGGGAAACCATATTTTTATATATAAACTGAGCAAGTTTGATCTGGAGTCCTTGACTCATTGACTATGGAGATTCAGCCCATAATGTAACTTTTATTCTCTTTTTTTATTGTTGAACCGTACTTTCTGATTGGTCTGTACTAATCAGTTGGGTTTTTGGCTTTGGAAGCTTAGGGGTGGAAATCAATTGTCTCTAAAAATACAACAGAGGTAGATATGATAGTGTTCTTTAGTATTGTAAAATTCTGACAATTCAGGCTGTGCAGATGCTTTTAATGCATTTGGGACTTGGACAGTATATCTGTGAAAATCATATGGCCTGCCTTTTGCACTCGGTATGGGAATTATTTGGTTTTGTGAGGGAGTTGAAAATTTGAAATTTTCATCTAACAAGAAAGGGATAGAATAATATTGAGTGTTCTACAGTTAGACCAATTTTTAGTATATTTGACTCAAATTTTATATTGGACTATAGCTATTTGTCTCTGTCTTTGGGGTGTATGTGCTTTTTTAGAGATTTCATTTTTTCTACTCTTTTATGTAGTTTGTTTTGATGGGGAGCCTTATCCTAATGAAAGTTGCTTGTTGACACTTCAAAGGAAATAGTGGGCTCATCTTGTTCATAGCCTGTGTAAGGGATGATTTGGCTCTAGGCAAATACTCGCTATTATAGCAGCTCAAAATGGTAAATAGATGCTGCCAAATGTCAGGGCTAAAGAAAAATCTCCTACAGAGAGGCTTAGGCTGATAGGCTTTAAAAGGCTTAAATATGCAGCTTTCTAAAAGAGACCAGTCAAAAACAAAAATAAACAAATATTCATTTTAGAATGCCTCAATTTACTGTTAAATAAAATTTTTCTAGAACTAGTATATATATATTTCAAAATATCATAAACACTTTATTTCACATTCGTTGTGTTGTAAAATATTTTAAGAATATTTTAGGTAAATAGAATATTTAAATTTGGTGTATTTAAATATTTAGTATATATTTAGTAATATAGTATATTAGTATTTAAATATTTAGTATAATTGGTGTATTTAAATAGAATATTTAAATTTGGTATATTGGTTGTGTTGTAAGAATATTTTAAGAATATTTTAGGTAAATTTTGATTAATTTTACCTTTTAAATTAAAACTGAGAGGGTGGGAGGGAGGTGGAAATAATGATACCCAAGACTTTTTACTTTACCAATAATAAAGAAGTTTAAAATAATTTTCTAAACAAACATTAAAAATTAAATGTAATGTCAATTCACCCGTCATAGATGAAGCAACCCTTAATCAGGTCCCAGTTTGCTTGTACCTACAAAGATGACGTGATGACTGAGAAGAAGGATCAGCACTTCTTCAGTAGGAGCCAAATACCGACTTGCATACATCCAGCACCAAAACAAATGCTTGCTCTCTGTTTAGAAGCTGAGACTTTTGCAGGTAAACTGAATTATGTTTGAGTGAATGAGAAAATTTTATTCCTGATTTTTCAGGTCTTATACCTGTTGATTTTTATCAAACTACTACATCAATCTTTATTAAAAGTCAAATGTAAAGGATTTTATCAAGAAAAAACAAAAATGAGGGTTTAATAGCTTTGCACAGGTTACAATTGGTAAAAACTGATCTAGAATATTTTTTAGTCTATGCTATGTGAGATAAGTGCTTTGAAATTAGCAGTATAGATTGTAAATGATTTCTTTTTTATTGCCTTCATAATCTCCAAATAAATTTTAACCAAACAGTAAGGTTTCTTTTTACCTATTTTACAGAGATGACCTAACGCTTGCGGGAAATTTATATATTGAATGGGAAAATTATGGCTAGTTGTTAAATTTACTTTTAAACAATAACACATTACAAGATGTGTATTATATAAATCACTGTTAGGACATAAATGTATTAATCCTTTACAACATTTTGACCTTTGTATATAAACTTATTTCCTGAAGTTGTTGATGGTTACATTTATACATGTGTAATGTCATTTTAAAATTTAATGGTGAAGTGGCTATGTTTAGGTTTGTTTATAGTTGTTGGCTAGTTGATGGCCAGTCAAATTATTTTTATTCATTTTATTTAAGAAAGGACTCTCTTGCTAAAAATACATGACCTTTTATGCCATTTAAACCCGAGGAATATCCTGGCTAACTACGTTAGGAGTAATAACTTTTTTTCCTTCCCAAAATATTTTATTCTCTTGCACGTCAGAAGGTGTAAAGTCGCCTCCTGAAAGACCAGCACTTGGAACCAGTTCTGGAAATGTTCATTGGAATGGAAGTAAAAGTGAAAAAGCAAAAAGTTGTCCGCCAAGAAACAAGAGCTCAAAGAGGAAACACATGGATCTGAATAGTGAGAAAGTCATCTGCAATAATGAAAATGAGCCACCTCAGTACACCAATATTAAGAGACCCAAGATATCAAACATAGTACAGGAGAAATTGGACAGCAAACTAGATGGAGCAGCAAAAAGCAACAAGGCTACAGCCAAGAATAAATTGATTGTTGGTCAGAAAAAGTTAACTGACTTTTTTAGACTATGAATCTTTTATTTTTATTTTGATGTGTATATAGTAAATTTACTATTCCATAATAAACATTGTACATCTTGAAAGAACAAGATAACCGGTGCATTAACACATTTTGGCTTCACAGTGTGCAAATATATTAAAGTAGGTTACACGTATTATTCATTAGACAAATATAGTGACAAGTCTTGATTGTACAGAATTCTCTATTTCAGTAACAATACATCATAACTATTACAACTAGGTCATCTAGTGAAAATGTCAATCATGTTTCCCTCTACTTTGAAATACAGATAGAAGTATTTAGATGTAAATATATAGCAATACCAAAAGCACTGTAACTTCAAGTTTCATTAAATTGGCAACCAATACTTCTTCAGAGAAGAGGCCAACAGTTTTCAAACTTGCCAACAAGGTCGATAGACTCTTCCCAACATACACCTGAGCACTGAAGAAAAAATTTTTTTACTCTTTTTATATTCTAAGTTGAAATATTTTTTCTGTGGAAAAATACACATATACTTACTGTCAAAATCTCTCCTTCCTATAGGAAATTTAGCTGAGTTTTCTTCATCCCCGGTCTCTCTCCTTTTCTGTATTGATTCAATATTCTGAATTTCAGTGTCAGCTGGAAAAGCCATAGATCCTTTCAATGCAAGATAAGGTAGCTGTTTTATACCTAGGTTCAGTGGCAAACCATGGCTTATGAAATTGTGTTTGGAACCTATATTCTGAAGTAAGAAAAAAAGATTTAAATTTTAAAGACACGTTAACATTATGTTTAGTTCTTTTTTTTTTTTTTTTTCCCCATTCAGAACAAAGGTATTGTAACAGACAGTCATTTAAAAGACGTACAATGCCACACATTGGAACTTTGTCTAAGCCACCTTAAAATCAAAGTGCATGTCAAAATAATGTGGATGATCAGCTTAATTTCAGTTTAGTTATTCAGTGGGACTGAAACCATCTTGGTATGTGTGGCTAGTCCTGTTGACATTCTAAGATATATTTTTAGTACAGAATGGGCAAAATTTTCAAACAATGATATCTAAATAAAAGTAGACTGATATTTTCTTACACATTATGACCACCTGGAATCCTGATGAAAATCAGGTAATTTGTTTAGTTTCCCAAACTCAGATTTAGGTGACTAACATTAGATACTTATATTTGAAAACTTAGTATTCAGTAATTGCATGATCTTGTAACTGAAACCATCCACCACAACATTCTTTTAAATTGTAAATTTTTAACCCTTTTAAAAGGACTATAAATTGAGCTTTTATTCATGTTTTAGAGTTCAATAAAAAATGGAAACTCACTAAGAATTTTGGGTTTCTGTCTTCCTCTTCATCCAGAAAGCTGCTGTCCTCCATCTTGTAGTGCTCAAGAGTAGGTATAGTCTCTGTCTTCTCTGTTTTACCTTCATTCCAAAGAGCTTTTCCTATATTGAATGCATTTAGTATCATATCATCATCTTCTACCTTTCTAATAGACTTTGAAACTGAAAGTAAAAAACCTTGAGAAAAGAGAGAGAAAATTAGTATTAATATGTAGGATGAAATATGCATTCTTAGTTGTTTAATGTTTGCATAGAAGTTAAGCAGGTTTAAGATATTATTTAAGAAAGGTGTCCTTTGTAAATTAATGTGTTCTCCAATCCTGTCTACCTTTATATATTTTATAGATTGAATAGAAACCACTTCAGTGGCTTATGAGTTCACCCTGTATAAATGACTCATTATAAAGAGGCTAACCTTTTGAATAGCATTTGTAATGCCATATATTGGTTAGAACTACTTAAGTATGGATATTTTTTACCATGGATTATTAGCTCCTTTGTAGACTTTCAGAACAGTACAGATTAGTAGTTCCTTTTAATGGATCAATTTTAGCAAAATTCACAGGATACCATAATCTCTACACATGCTCTTTTTAAATCAGGCCTTACTTTTCACTTAAGGCAGTTTTAGAAAAGAACTAATTTACACATGTAAGAAGGAGGGTCAGCAAAGTAACTTGTTTTGTTTTAAACCCTGGTCTACTCTATTTTAAAGTGAAATTGATTTTCAAATCTTCTTGGGAAAAGAGTTGAAAAAAACTTTGAAGGTAGCAATGATTTAAAATACTACCATTGTCTTAATACAGGCAAAGCTGAAACCTTTAACTTGTGTTCAGTAAATTGTGTACCTTTTTATCTGAAGATATAGCTGGCAGTCCTCACTCATTGCTGATCCATGTATTTGTCAGAGTTTGGAGGCAGTTTCCCATCTGAAAGGATCAGCTGGGAACACCAATAGGTTAGTACCCAGATCGTAATTTCAGATGTTCCTCCCTCTCCCACTCCAGATGGAAACTTCAATTTTTGCCTCACAGACTCTTCCAGATTGAATGCTCTATTATCCCCTCCTGTGTTTAGAAACACGATAAAGGTCTATGGAAAGAAATTTCTGTGGAGATTCCTCCACATTTTGCTATTTGAGGGAAAGCATTTGTCCCCCACATGGGGAAAGTGTAAGGGGCCTGCCCAGACCTAGCAGATCCCTAAGGGATCTATTTGATGCTAGGGCCATCTGCACAGTGACCCTGTACCTCTGGACTAGTTCTAGACTAGTATCTCTGGACTAGTTTATCCACCTTGTGCGGATCTGCGGGTCCTGAACCCAGGCCCGTAGACCACTGCTGCATCCCCAACACCACTGGATGGCTATAGTAATGACAGGAGAATTGGGAGCCCTAAGGCCCTGCACTCCACCAAACATACTACCCACAGGGATCTGACTGGAGTTGCTCCAGAGTCCCTGACTGGGCTGGTTACACTTCTAAACTAGAGAGAGAAACAGGAAGTTGTCTGTGCAACAAGGTGGATTCTGGGTGGGTGCTGCAGCTGCAGACCCTCTTGTTCAATACCTGACTTTCGGTCTCATCTCCAGTTCCTGACTTTAACCCTGCCCTGTACCTGGCATCTGCCCTCAGCCTTGTTCTGGTCACAGAACTCTGTCAGCCTGGTTTTGACTGCTCCAGCTCCGACCTTATGCTACTGACCCTCAGCTTTGGCTTGTGATTCCTGTTTGACCCCCAGCTCTCACTTTTGCCCCATGGCTCCTGTCTTTGGACTGCCCATTGGCCTATGGTTCCTGAACACTGCACTGAATGGCAGGCTGGCCTGCCTATGTCCAGGTCATTGTGCCAGTCTTCCACAAGCTCTGACACACCCTTACTCCAGTCTTTAAGAGGTATCTGCATGCACATGGCACACAGGTATCTTCTGATATTTTCCACAGGAAGACTCTCCACCATTGACTGGCACCAAAGAGGGAGCTGGACCAGTGCCTATCTTTATTCCAGCCAATTATAATAAATGTCATCAGAGGTTCATGAAAACTTACTTCAAAATAGAAGTTTACCAAATGCTTTCAATTCTCAAGCAAACAAAAAAGTTCATGTTTTGGATCCGTTTGAACCAGTTTGAACAAAATAGCAGGCTCCTCTCTTTGCTCTCTTGTGGCCAGCATGAAATCCTAAAGCTATAATCCATCCTTGCATGGCTGAGGGAGGAAGGAAGATAGGCTTTGGCTTGGGTTGAACCTTTTTAAGAAAATAAAAAAAACACTTTTTATCTATGAGTTGGGAAGGGCACTTTCCTTTCCTCGTTGCTGTTACTAAGGACTCTACAGTTGCTACTGTTTAGGGAGGGCGGGGGGAGTCCTATTATCTAAAAATCAGGGCGTACGCTGTCACCAAAATGAATGCCAATTTTTTTTATGGGCTAAAAGACCTAAGACCGCCTCCTTGGTTAACTGCTAAAACAAAGCTGTCAGTTGAGGGAAGACCAAAAATACAACCCTTGGCCCCTTTTAAAATTCAGCAGTGTCTGTCTGATAATTGAAGAAAATGGAACATGCTCATTAGGATCTCCAACTCACATTACAAAAAGCATAATTGCTATACATGGCTGTAGAATCAGGTAAAGTCATAAACTGTGGTCAGTACAGACCATAGAGAGCAAACTTAGCTTTTCCAGATTTGGAGTAGCTTCCATGGCTGCAGAGCCTGAGCACAAGGTAGCTTCTGTCATTCTGCAGCCTCACAAATTCAATGGGTTCATCTGTGCCCAATGTATCTAGGTGTTCGCAATCTAAATAAAATGCATATTTTTCCTTTTAGGCTTCAAATACTCCACTTCTGGCAGAAAACTAAAATGTTTTAAATTATGATAACTAAATTCATATTACAAATTGCTGCCTAAAATCTTGTCTGTTATCAATTGGCCTTTTCTTTTCACTTAATATTAACTTAGTTCTTTTTAGTACTGTTTACATCAGTAATTTACCGTTATTTTAAGTAACTCCTCCTGCTTTTACATGGAATCGTGTTACTGTGAAATCGGACAATCTAAAATCTGATGTGAAATGCAAAAGTAAATAAATTTGGTCAATGACACTTAATATGGCTGAAACTTATCTTTTATTCTGTTTGCATTCCTATAAAAATAAATATTTAGTATACATTTTGTTTCCGTAAGTAAGTTTTTTATTCATTTTTCATTCATTCAGTAAGTTAGTTCTTAATTTTCATTTCTGAGCTTTTGAGCCTAATAAGCACTGTCTGTTTCTGAGCAATAAATAAAACCAGGTAAACTTTTTCTGTTTTTTACAGGGTTTTTTTAAGACTTAAATGAAATGAAAAGCAATAAACAGTATAGTGTGACATACTGTTGAATGAATATTTAAATATTAAAAAATTACTGAATTTTAGAATGTAGTGCCAAAATCCCTGTTCAGTGATCATTTCTACATTAGCATACTGTTTTTCAGTTATCTTTCCTTAGCCACTAACATTGGTTTTTGCTCCATATTCAGAGTTAATGGTCTGTTTTTATAGAGTTATGATTTTATTAATCTTGAGCATGCTATAGAAAATTGTTTGCATTTAATATTTTCCTCTTAAGTTATATTTTGTCTGTTTTACCAACACTTCTCATCTTTTTTTTTTTTAAATGGCAACAGCTGCCTCTTGTTAGTGCCATCTAGATTCTCCTGTGGCACTATATTCTGGATGAAGTTCATCCCTGTGCAAAGAGCCCCACACAAGGCCTATTTTTTCCACAGGACTTGTGCTGTACCGCTGCATGTGGGTGAATTTCACCCTGTGTGTACCTACTCTTAAGTGTAGATCTGGATGTCTTTTGTTCAGCACTGAAGGAAGATAGTAAAATCTGAATAGTATGCAGTGTACTGCATTTGCCTGCACATGTTGCCACTAGAAGCTTCAAAGGGGTATTCAAGTGTTTTCTGCCACTCATTATTCTTAAGAGGAAATTGAAGATCTCAACCAGAGGGTATAAAACTTGGTGTACATGTTTATTTCTGAATGAAGAAGTTGTACAGTAAGAGAGAAACAATTATTGGGTTAGATCACTTATTGAATTTCTTTTAACTGGCGCTTCCTAGGCATGATTACTAAAGGAAAAACTCCATAGTCGGGTAAAAATGGAGGAGGCTTCAACTATAGGAAAGTTTTCTGAGCTTGATGTTTAGTTTATTCTGAAGCAAGCACAGAACAACTATAGCATTATCTTGCTCCTTCCCCTGACACACAGCATGACATCATGAAGCTGTTTTGATAGGTGTTATCCTTATTTGTTTTAGAAGATCTCAGAAATTCAAACCATCTTGCTATAAAACTGTACAATCCAGAAAGTTTCCAGATAGAGTCAAGCCAAAGGGTCTAGTTTGGCTCTATGAGCCAAAACATGAGCTGAACCATTTGAGCTGACTAGCCAAATACAAAAAGAAAATACATAAGTTGAATATATAAATATATATAACGTCACAGTGGCTGACAAGGAATAATGAGAAAAGTATTTAACTATCTTGGCTTTTCCTTGGCTCATCTTTATTTATGGATGAAGAGCTGAATCAGAACCAGATTGTAACTTTCAATAATTTTCCTACCTCTAGTTTCTTGGCATTTAAAAGTAGAAATTTGTGGGATTTATTTCTGCAACTATTATAGAGATCTTAGAGAGGATTTTTTTATTTACGCTTCTCCATGCCTTTGCATTAAACCATACTTACCAGTCTTCCCATCCATCTTCTGGAACAATCCACAAATGTCTCCTTGGAACCTGAGGAGATGACCTCCAAGATCTTGCTAGTGGACAAGCCAATATCATCCAGTACCTCATCTGGCAGACAAGCTACAGTGAAAACTGGCACAAAGAAGACTGCACCAAAAAGCAACCAGGTACCATCACTTCGGCACAAAAGATGACTCCTGCGTCAACAGCATCAAAACAGGAACTAAGCACCTCTGGTATCGAAGTCTGGCATCAAAAGGGGCTGGTCTGAATGCACAGGCACCAGGTAGAGCTTGGTGTCCTTCTATAATGACAGACCATCCAGAGCCTCTGGAGAGAAATCGATCAGGCCTCATACAGTGTTGAGGGCTTGGGATAAGGAGCAGCCTACAGTGACACAAATCATGAATCTGGTCATGCACCTCTCAGCATCAACAGTGAACACAGAGAATGAGTCAGGGAGAACTGGAACCACCATTGGTGCTGAAACACCTGCCAGTATCTGTGACAGAGGCCCATTGGTACCAGTGGGCAAAGGTTCTTTACAAGCAACTCCTATATCAGACCTGACAAACTCACTCCATCTAATACACTACTTTCCTGGAATTTATTGAGGAAAGGTGGTAGGTGAGGTCTCTACTGAAAGCTTATAATTCAACGATATTCATAATCATTGTGAGATGTGCATGGGAAATATTTTAGGAATAATGTAACTACATTGAAAACTGTGCCTTATGGTCCTTGGAATAAAAGTTAGTCATCAGAAAATCATATGTCTCAGTGATGGTCTGTTCAAGTGGGAAGGAGTTGTCACCCTTCCCTAGAACTGCTGATATAATGCAAGGTTCCATTGTCTACCGTTGTCTCATCTCAGAACAGTCAATGGAAAACTATTAAAGACAACTCCAAATAATCAAAACCACTTGGAGGTTAATAGGAACATTATAAGAGGCTGGGGATGACCCTGTCTGTGAATAAAGGCAAAAGACTGATCCAGTATATGAGGTCAAGAAAGACACTTTGCATCATTTACTGAGAAGACATATTGTTGAACAGGTGTTTTTCATGAAGGTTTGGAACCTGGTTCCTGTGAAGCTAGCCAGCTCTGCAACCAGCTGAACTCTGAAGGGAAAACCTACTTCATTGGATAGGAAAAAGTAACTATTAATAAGTGTAGGCCCTACTTCGTGTTTTATTATTTTGTTTTGTATTACAACCATTTATTTCTGTCATTCTTTTGTTTCCAGTGGAACCTCTATTTTTTTTAAATAAATATTTTATTATAAGTGCTCATAAGTGCCGTGTGTTGTACAGTAGCAGTGATTTAAGGTAAAACCGGGGTATACTATTCCTTTGAGAGCTGAGGATCTGGGATTTCTGTGAGTAGCCAGTGTCGGGCTAGATACCTAGCACAGGGGAATGCTTCAAGGGGACTTGTCAATCAGCAAGGAGAAGAAAGGGCTGGCATAATCCTGAGGAGAGTGGTTGAGTGGCTGTTAAGCTGGTGGTGTTAGGGAGCTAATACCCAGCTATCACAGGCAAGACGTTAGAGGAAGGGGGTAACAAGGTGACACACAGTCCTGGGTACCCCGAGAACCATAGTGGTACCAGGACAGATGCCAGTACCAAGACCTGCTCTATGCTGCATCACTGCTTGTGGAGATCCACATCTCTACACCATCACTGGAGCATACATTCTCCCCATATTCAAGTAGAGTACCCTCTCCCAGGAGGTCAGTGGTTGACCCCATGGAAAGGTCTGCTTGCTTCCCCTACAGAGCTGCACCACAACTGGCTCATTGGGGCTGATGCTTGATTAGCCAACCACTCAATGAATCAACCATACTTGTATGGTATGCAATAATGGCCCTAATTGTGTTACTGGGATCCACTATCTCATGCATCAAGAGGTTGGTTTCACACCACAATTGAGGAAGAAGACAGGATCACTCCAAGGTATCGGGAAGAATTTGTTCCAGTGGCAGAGCAGCACCAGTGCCCCATATTGCCACCAAAGGCCTTTTGTGATGAATTGGCATCCTTGGCATTAGGACCAGTGCCTGATGATGATCAATCATTTCAGGAGGACCATGTGAAGGCTCCTGACACTCTAAAGATAGAGATCACAGCAATATCAGAAAAAAGAAAAAGGAGTACTTGTGGCACCTTAGAGACTAACCAATTTATTTGAGCACGAGCTTTCGTGAGCTACAGCTCACTTCATTGGATGCATACTGTGGAAACTGCAGAAGACATTATATACACAGAGACCATGAAACAATACCTCCTCCCACCCCACTCTCCTGCTGGTAGTGGGAGGAGGTATTGTTTCATGGTCTCTGTGTATATAATGTCTTCTGCAGTTTCCACAGTATGCATCCAATGAAGTGAGCTGTAGCTCACGAAAGCTTATGCTCAAATAAATTGGTTAGTCTCTAAGGTGCCACAAGTACTTCTTTTCTTTTTGCGAATACAGACTAACACGGCTGTTACTCTGAAACCTAGCAATATCAGAGAAATCCCATGAGATATTTGATTTTTTATAAGCTTCTGGTCCAGCCAGGATCGTGTTTTCCACAAATGAGGAACTGCTGGACCTTGCTAAGGCCTTATGGTAGATTCTGTCCCCAATGACACCTACTGCAAAGTAGGTAGAGAAGAGATACCAAGTACTTCCAGCAGGATTTGAGTACTTACCCCAGCCAGGCTTCTTAAGTTATGTCAGCGGTACAAGAGAAATTGAAATTAAGCAAGAATACCCCAAGGTCAAGGAGGACTCCAAATGGCTCAACTTGCATGGGGAAAAAGTCATACTCCTCTGCCTCTCCAGCTGCCTGTGGCTAACTGTCAGAACTTACCGGCTAACTGTGACTTCCTAACTTTGGGCAGGATGGCAACTTTCCCAGAGAAGCTCTTGCACAACAGCAGGGAGGAACTAAGATATAATTAAGGAAAGGTCACTTTGACCAAGACTACATTACAGGCGGTGACTGATTCCTCCCAGACCATAGCAAGGTCTGTGGCCAATGGGGTGACAATACACAGAGCATTGTGTCTCCAAGCATCAAGTATCTCAAGAGAAGTACAGGCCATTATGAAGGATTTGCCCTTTGAGGGCATGGGGCTATTTAGTGAGCTGGCAGACAGCATTCTATAGTTACAGAATGATTCAAAAGCTGTCCTGTTCTCCCTGGAGATTTACTCCCCAGACCCATATAACAGGCTGTACTGTCCTTAAGCCCTGTCAAAACCATGGATGCCATCCTACCATCACAGGCAGCCTAAATATCAAGCCAAGAAATCACCATGATACAAAGGGAGCCAACCCTCCTCGTCCTCCAGAACTCACCTTGCTCCTAAACCACATCAG